AGGCCCCCTTCCAACAGCATCGATGCCTCCAGCAGCCTGGCTGGACACCTCCAAGCTCTGGCAGGGCTGGGGGGGGCTGGGACAGATCCTGCCCCACTACTGGGGGCACGGGGAGGTGGAGAAAGAGCCAAGGGGGGAAAAAGACGAACGGCTGCATCGCCTGCGGCCTGCGAAGGCACCCTGCGGCGTGGGAGCGATGTGCCAGCCCCGCAGCATCGCTTTAATTAGCCCAGCCCCCCCTTTTCTTAATGAACAGCTAATTGGGACTGTCTAGACAGGAAAGGGAAAAAAACTGCCAAGCAAGAAAGCAAGCTAGCCATAGCGCCAGCGGCCGCCGTGGGGCTGGGAGAGGCTGGTGTGGAGCTGGGGTGCTGGGCTGGCCCTATAGAGAGCACCTATAGAGAAAGTCTGTGCCTAAACGGGGGAGGATCCTGTAGCAACACCACGGCACCCATAGAAAGCCTGTGCTGAAATCAGGGGGCCCTATAGCAACACCAAGGCACATACAGGGTGCTCAGGCTTTCACAGGGGACTTGTGACAGTGGTGCCTGTAGGGAACCGGCATGCTGCCTGGGGGGCCCTATAGCAGCAGGAGGGCACCTATAGGGAGGCACCTACCCCCTTCCATGTCTTCTGTCCAGTTGCGGCTGCTGCTGGTGGGGGAGTTGGAGGAGGTGTAGTACTCGCCCCCCGGGCTGGTGTCGATGTCGTCCTCCATGGACCCCGACTTGTGCCGTTTGCTCCTGGGGGGCAGAGACAGGATCAGCGCCAGCCCACAGCAGGGTCCTGACCAGGCCTGACCCCTGCCTCCCCCACAGCCCCATGGCTGTGCTTGCCATCCCCCCCGGCATGGCCCTGGTGGCACCTACCCGCTGGAGGAGGTGCTGGGCAGTGTCCTCCTCATGCCGGTGCTGGAGGGGTTCAGGTCATAGGCCAGGTGGCCCTGCAGCTCCCCCAGGGAGAAGTTTGGCCCCGTGCCCGTCACCACCGGCGCTGTGGGGAGAGAGGGGGATCAGGGAGGGCCCAGCATTGCCCCCTGTGCGGCACAGAGGGGGGCCCCAGCCTGCAGCCAGGATGGGGGGGACGCTGCTGTTCCCAGGCTGCTGGGGGTGGGTGGTGGCATCATGGCAGCACTTACTTCGGGACACCTGGATGAGCTCAGTGACGCTGAACACCCCCGAGGTGACAAAGCTTTCCTGGAAGTCTGTTGAATCTGCAGAGGAGAGAGGAGAGAGTGCTGGGGGGGCTCCTCATCCTGCACTATCTTGTGGTGATGCTCCAGGGCACCCCAATAGCCCAAATTCCTTGTAACACCACCCCCACCCCCCTCAACTGGCTTTGCTCCGCTTTCATCCTCCAGCAAGGGACCACCCCAACCGGTCCCCTCTGCTGAGGATGCCCCGGGGCTGCTCTGTGCCTCACTTTCCCTGTAGCTGAGAAGGCCAGCAGGGCTGGGGGCTGCGCTCCCACCGTGGGACCCCCATGGTA